ATAGGTATTAGAGGAAGTTCCTAGAACAACATGGACACTGTGACATCAATTCCAGATGTTAACCTAAAAGTGACATTATGGCATCCATACTGTGGCCCACCCCCCTTTTCTTCTGCTGTTCTATTGAACAAGCACAGAAAATGCAGCATGGGTTCAGGAGTTTGCCCACCAAGGTAAGTCTATCTGTATCCCTGCTGTGTTAAGAGAATAGTAAAACAATCTGACCCAATTCAGTGCTGAACTAGAAAGCACTTATTTACAAGATCCATCTGAAAGATCATAGGAAAAACGTAGACAGGTGTAACACATTTTTAAAATACCTATTTTCTTAATTTATCTTTGGGCCTAGTTTACTTCTGAGTCCTTGACAGGGCTGCCAAGTCCCAGGTAGGGGTGGGAGATCCCCTGCCCCTAGGTCCTGTTGCCCATGACCATTTTAAGTGGCAGCAGGAGAAAAAAGATTAAATTGGAAACTTCTGTACTTCTTGGAAGGTACTTACTGGAAGGTCTTACTGAAACTGACAAAGATTAGCTCTAGTAATCTATGGTTTTACCATAGAGTTTCTGAAGATTCCTAGAGCTATCGTTTATCATTTCTGGTTAGAACTTCCAGTAAGCTGCATTGCTTTTTTAAAAAAATCTCCCATGATGCCATGTGCATCCCCACAACCCTCCTGCCAGTTGCTAGACCCTGCCTGGTAATCCTAGTCCCTGATACAAAACCAATGACAATGAACTAATATTAGCAATATTTATTATGCTGCTTGTTTACAGTGCTGCAAAACTGTATAAGTTTTTAAAGATGCCATAATGTACTGTGCTGGAAAATGTGATGAAGCCATGCTATGTATCTTAAGGCTTTCAGAAAGAATGATGAAGTAGAATTGACAATTGTGTCTATTCTTGTGCCCTTAACAGCAGCTTGAGTTGGAGAAATCATCTTGTGAAGCTTTTCACAACATGGAGATTAACCATCACAATGAATCCGCCTGCTGGCAACATTCGCCTGGTTCAGGGAGCTAATGCAGCAGTCAGAGTGTTGGACTGAGACTGAGTATTGTAATAGAGTATGGATTATTCAAAGAGCAGGGAGGCCTAGCTTTAGTGACTTAAGAATTTATTTCTAAAGCTACAGAAAACTTGGTTTGTCATTCAGATTCATCTGACCTTGAACAGCATGTCCGTTATCTTGTACAAGTCAGATAAGGTCTTTTGTAGCAGCTCTCCCTGTTGAATAGAAGGGCTATCTATAGCAACTCCAAGGAGACCCAAATGAAAATCCCCTGTTCATCCATGAAGCTTCTGGCTAATCTTAGTGTGGTGGTTGATATCTCTCACCCTAATGTATTTTACAGGGTTATTACAAGTGTAAAATAAGATAATCCCTCATTCATCCTGAGCTCCTTGAAGGAAAGGTAGGATAAAATATAATGAATAAATCATTCCAGAAAGCCGGAGATTACAAACATCTGTGCAATTGCTTACTGGGATCTTTCGCTAAGCAGAATTTTCAGGTGAACTTCGGAAATGCTGAGGGAGGCCCATCTCCTTAGTTCCCATGCACAGAGAGTGGCATTGTACTTCGACACATTCATATCGTTTCAAAGGGGCAGCTGTTTTGTTTCCATAGGAAAACTAAGCAACCCAGTTTCCCATGGCAGCCTGTGCTGGCTTTAGGGTTTAAAGTTGGCTTTAGGGTTCTGAAGCTCTAGGTGAGTCCTGGAGATCTCCCAGAATTAAAACTGATCTCCCCTTGGCGGGTGGACTCTATGGCATTATAGCTCACTGCGCCTCCCCTGAGCCTGCAAAGCATGGAGTTTGGGGAGGCGAGGCAGCCCAGATGGGATTAGAGTACACACTCTGAAGCAATAATTTCTTCCAGGGGAACTGATCTCTCTCATCTGGAGATCAGTTGTAATTCCGGGAGATCTCCAGGGCCTCTCTGGAGGCTGGCAAGCCCAGGTCCAAGATCACCGACTGGGTTGCCTGACACGTGGGGATTTGAATCTAGGCCTTCCAGGTTTCAGTTCAACAACCTAACCCCTATGCCACTTTTTAAGGTGTGGTGACCAGAACTGCAGGTGGCTGATGAGTAAATTTGATAAACAGATACATTCTGGCACGAGCAATTATAGCATCTTGGATATTGTCCTGCTCCGGAGGTCGTGGGACGGGCAGAGTGGGCCCTAGGTACCCCGACAGACCCCGCAAGACACCCTAGGTGTGACTCACCAGGCGAGGCGCAGGCCGACGGTCCAGAGAGTGAATCGAGAGCGGGGACCCCTCCTCCAACGAGCGGTGTCAGTCGAGCCCGGAGACAGGACCGGGGTCTGCGGAGCCGCCCCGCAGAGGAAGAAAGGGGCAGTGGCTACATGTCCGACGGGCCAAGAACGGCCGCGGAACAGCAAGCACCACCGCAGATTGGCGCCGGTGGTGCGGCCCAGGGGCATCACTCTGGAAATGCCCCACTGCATCCTGATTGATAAAGGAGGGCGTGGCCCAAGTGGGAGGGTGGCTGGGCGGTTCTGGGAGCAGGGCGGGGAGATAAAAGGCAGGGTGGAGAAGGGGCCGGGGAGGAGGAGTGCGCTGTGGGATGAAGTGGGACGCTGACGAGAGAGAGACGGAGAGACGGGAGAGAGAGAAAATGGACGTCCGCAGCGTGCTGGCAGAGGGACGCTAAGGGTGATTGTAACCCTGTCCCCTGCCTATCTGAGGCCCCTCTCTCCCTCTCCCTTTTTGAATCCTGCCGCTCCGAGGGCCAATACCCCTGCCGGAGTCAGGCCGAAGACCCCGGCACCACAGCCACTGGGGGCGCCATCCCGAAGTCCAAGGGAGAGCCCGACAGATATATACACCTAAAACATGTAATGTGTGATGTGGCCAATCAGTGGTCATCATATGGTCACCACCAGTGCCTTCACATCACACACAATGCAATTTCTTAATGCACATTGTTTTTCTGAGAACAATTCCAAACTTCTCACTAGACATACAATTAGATATCAAGGAGAACTCTGATTTAAAAAACAAAAACAAACCAAAGACTCTGTCTTTCATACAATGGTCACAATTGCCATTTCTCAACTGAGTTGTTTTTTCCCCACATACAAAAAATACGAGGAAAACAAAGTCCACTTTAAAGTAGTTATCCAGACAATAAGGAGTATTGTATGCCTATTTTTTCCAGTGTCTGATTTTGCAAATTAAACAGTAGCATGGCTACAGTTGGATAAGGAAAGTGGAATCAATAGAGATGCAAGCAAAAGATAACTTTTTAAGAGAGACCTGAAGTCTATCATCCCAGGTATTTCTTGGCTTAACAGGCAAACCTTGTTAACTGCCCATTTATGTTATGAAATAATTAGGCTCATACTGTCCATGGCTCCTTAGAGATAATGGCTACAAATGTTTTTAAAAAACTCTACAGCTTCTAGTGTCCAAGTTGAAACTGGGATACTTCAGGCAGGATCACAAATGCATGTTTTGTGGTTGGTAACAAGAACATAACAGATCAAACACCACAGAAAAAAATGAACAAGGCTTTCCAATGGAGTCAGTTCACACATTCAGCTGTCATTCATCAAGTGTACAATAATCAAATATCAAGAAATCATCATGCACCTGCTTGTATAAAGATGGCCATACCTACTGCCATGCGGAGGTTTAAAATATATGGAAAACCTTCACCAATAGTTTATAAATTAATCCAAAATTCTCCACCCAGTAATAATAAGAACCTCAGTGACTGATACTCATTTTTGCTGTTCACCAGGAGCCCGTTTGGTGTAGTGGTTAAGAGTGGCAGACTCTAATCTGGAGAACCAGGTTCGATTCCCCACTCCACATGAAGCCAGCTGGGTGACCTTGGGTCAGTCACAGCTCTTTCAGAGCTCTCTCAGCCCCTAAAAACAAGTCTAGCTCAACACGTAGTGGTGCATAATGCTAAGAGCTAGAACTTGTGGCTGCCGGACAATCTTAGGATTTCCTGGCTATTTTACACACATTGCCATACGATGATAATAATTTTTATTGCTGTTCACCAGCCTCCAAATAATTTCCTTTGGGAGAGATGCTGCCCATGAAAATTGTGTTTGAAAATTTTATCCCATAAACCTGGAACACGATCAACCGAAAATCAACATTTATGTTAAGAGGGAGTTACTGGTTCAGATGATATCCCAGCCCTACTTACTGAGGTGCATGCCTTACCTCCCTGTCCATTCAGTGCACTAGTCAGCTTCTCTATTGTGTTTGGGAATCCACATGGTGCCATGGGGCCCAGTCATATGTGCAGAGGCACTATAGGTGTGGAGTTGCAGTGACAATTTTGGGCACTCCTAATAATTATATGTTAGCAAAAATAATGTTAATTATGAAGGGTAAGTGCTGAGGGAAGAAATGGATATTGCAAATACCCCTGTTCAGTTACAGCTTCTGAGGGATCCCTCTCAATGACAGACAGGCCATCATCCACTCTCAAGGGTAGAGAACAATGGTCTCCGAGTGCTGAGATATACTTTCCCCCACAGGCATAAGAGGCAACTATTCACTCATACAGGAGACACTGAAGCGGTATACTGTTGGAGTGTGGGCTTAAAACGTGCTCCCTGGTCCAGAGGACATCAGCCATTAGGAACAACACCTACTTCTACTTGATTCTGCCTTTGCCAATTCAGAATGGAGGCATTTTTTTTCAGAGAGCTGAAGGAGATGCAACGGAGCCATAATTTCTCATAAGGTCGGTGCATTACTCTAGGTTATTTCAGTTTCTGTGGTGTTTCAAGAACCTTTGGAGCCTTTTGGTAAGACAATAACAGAGGAAAGTAAATAAGAGTATATGCCAGAGGCAATGATACCACTGAGATGACGTCACTTTTAACACCTGTAAAATCTAACTAGTGTCCTCAGCCTCTGAGGACAAATCATTCTTCTTCATTAACCCACCAGAGGGCTCAGCAATGAGCAAAACGTGACTGAAAGACTAATTCACGGGAGGCCTGGTAAGACGTAGCATGCTGCTCCATGAGAGTACTTAGTACATGAGAATCCTGGCCCATTTCTGCTGAAGAATCTTTCCTGCATATCTTTCCATGTGGATTGTCAATTCCTTTTCTGTATGTATTTGTCCAGGCAAATCACCCCAAAAGCATTCCCACTGTGAGGCAAATGAAGAGATCAAATGGGCTCCTAGAAACTCAATGTCTATGTCCTTACTAAAGACATATGTATTTGTTCTTATGAATAATGAACACTGCAGAGAAGTCAGCTTGCTAACTTGGCAGGGCTCCCTGTAGGACATCTGTAGGACAAGCAGACATTTGCAAATGACTCTTTTCCCAGCACTTGCTGGGATGCTCCAAATTTGTCAAATCTCAAACTCAGGAAATATGACTACAGTATACAGATTAATTAGACCCATGGTACAACAAAACTACATCAAAGTGCTAGAGCAGGGAGGTAGAATACATTGGTATCTTTGAGACAAAATGTTGAGGATTTCAAGTGCTGGATGAAAACTGATATGCCCACATTGCAATATTGTTTCAGGATCTGAAGATTATTTTCTCCCTTACAAGTCTGGTGTGGATGTAAAACCATTCAACCTATAGGAACAAAGTCAGAGAAAAAGATTGAGATTAAAGATTTTTGTTCAGTTTTCTGAGTGGTTTCCCTTAACAGGGAAATAATATAGCAATAACTATCCGCAGTGATTTGCCCTTCCACACAACAGTCCATTTAGAATAAAACAAACTTTTTTTTAAAAAAGAAAGAAAGGTAGCCATAGAAGTAGAGGGACTCCCACAAGATAAAGGCCTTGGTCTTACTGATCTGAACTATTCCCATGTTGCTTTTTTGCAAGCAACTTGAACAAGCTTCTTATTGTAACAGTCAGACATGCACAGCTAAACAAGGTTCTCCTGGAAGGGTTCACAATTAGTTTCTAGTTTTCTAACTTGAAAAAATACTGAACCCATTGCAAGGAACTGAATGCTCTGTAAGAAAGGAAGATAGTCATGAAATGAAACAAAGGAGACTTCTGACAAGGGCAAAGGGCATGAATGCATCCCAACATTCTTAACAGTTAAACACCTGGCAGGCTTAAGAAACTGGTTGCTTCCTCTCAGTCTATATTTCCACCACACACACAAACAAAAATTACAAAGCCACAGCTAGACTGATAGCACAACCATGCCACACTGTCACTTTTGGCAGTAGTGAAGCAACACGTCCCAAGTCCCCTCCCGTTAGGTTTTAATTTTTTTTTAACTGGATCTTTTGATACTGTTTTGATACATAATTTAGGTGCTCCTCTAAATAATGATATTGCTTTGAGACTTGCACCTAAGCAGCAGTTCCTGTTTTGGGTCTCTCATGTCACAGGAAGTAGCATCATACTAGACTGGGACATGGTTGCAAGAAACCCAGCAGAACTTCCCACCCACACCTCTGACCCAATTATCTTCAATCACCCCAGAATGGTCTCTTCATAATTTCCTCAAGGAAGCAAGTTTGAGGGCAGAGAATTCCCAGAGCCTGGCCATCTCCCAGAAGCATGCAAAGAATGTTAATTTGTAGTGGCATTCATTTGGGCTGGGTAAGCAAGGGTCATTTTAGTTCCAGTGTGCTATTTTGACCTTTAATTTCCTTTAGCAAATGCAGCATTTGATGTTTATAAATGTTGTTATTCATGTTGGAGACCTCATAGGCTAAATTTTATAAATCTACAGAAATAGGTCTGGAGCAATGTTCCCTCTAAGCTGTCGAGTCTTGTGAGCAGAAATTCTACTTTGTGAGCTGCTGGCATTAAAGTTGTGAGCAAGCGATTTGACCACTGCATAAATTAGTTTGCTCTAGAGCCATCCTCCTGAGCTAAGACAAAAATGTGTGAGCCAGAGGCTAAAAAACTGTGAGCTAGCTTACACTAACTCAGCTTAGAGGGAACACTGGTCTGGAGAGAAATTTATTTTCTCATCCCTCCAAAGACACTTTCTTTAAACACACATCAGACCATTGTTTCCTAGTACCCTTCATACCATCACTTAGATCTCTTTCAGAGTCCCTTACCGCTGGATGATGCTATTGTTGAGCTGCAGATTGTTGCCTACAGATTTCATCTGTTCCTGTAGCTCTTGCATTCTGTTCAAAACACAAAAAAGTCTTTTAACTCTGAAACCTCTGAAGCTTCCTCCAGCCAAGAAAAGGGCTCCCAATGGTTAATAAATGTGCGAGCTCCTCTCCAGTCACTAGTCTGCAGGCCATCTGAGCCTCCCCAATTTGACCTCCAGATCTTTATTTCTTCCACTTCCTGTCACTGCCCCAGCACTCTTCTTTGCTGCTGTAAGAGTCTGCCAGTGTTCTAAACTCAACTGATGTTTCCTTACAACACTGGGAATACATACTGTCATATAGAATTAAATATGTCTGGGACTGGGCTGGCAGCAACTGAATCAGGCAGCCCACATTCAATACCTGTGCAACAGCAATATTTATTTGAAATTTAAAATAAGCCCTGAATATTAAGCTGCTGGCTACATAGCAGTGTGCATGAAAAAAGTAGAAGGAAGTGATCTATCAGGATTGAGGGCAGGGCTGGCTTGAAGATTTGGGGTGCCGTAAGCAACGTTGACAAAAGCACCCAAGCTGCCCCCCATGGGGAATTCCCCACTCCTACACTTTCAGCTGCTGGATGACCTTGGGCAAGCCATAGTGCTGTCAGAGCTGTTCTTGAAAGAGCAGTTCTCTCAGAGCTCTCTCAGCCCCACCTACCTCACAGGGTGTCTGTTGTGGGGAGGGGAGGGAAAGGAGTTCGTAAGCTGCTCTGAGTGAAGGGTGGGGTATAAATCCAATCTCTTCTCTTTTCTTCTTAAGGAAGGCAGGATCAACCCTCCTTGCCCCTGGCACCAGGGCAAGCTCCAGTGGTGGAGTTTGCTGGCACCCACACTCTTCACCTTCCCCTACACCAGAAGAAGAAGAAGAGATTGGATTTATACCCCTCCCTTCACTACCCAAAGGTGTCTCAGAGCAGTTTACAATCTCCTTTCTCTTTTCCTCAACACAACAGACACCCTGTGAGGTAGGTGGAGCTGAGAGAGCTCTGAAAGATCTGCCCTTGAGATAACAGCTCTGAGAGAACTTGTGACTGACCCAAGTTCACACCAGGAGCTGCATGTAGAGGAGTGGCGAATCAAACCTGGTTCTTCCAGATTAAAGTCCATGCTTGTAATGTATTCAGAAGCGGCCCTGAATGCATTAAGATGAACGTGAAATCATCTCATAGGGAAGCTATGTTAAGCTTCGGGATTCGCGCCAAGACTAATGTGACCAATCAAATTCACACAGACGGGAAGCGGGAACGCTTGTGATTGGACTGTATGCGCTCAACCTGATAGGTTGATATCTGTATAGGAGGTGTGGCTACATTAGCCCGGAATGTTTAAATACCGAGCAGCTGCAATGGAAAAGCTGTTCGGGCTATCGAATGTTGTACCGTGTTGGAGAAGTGATCATCGAGCTGAATAAACCTGAGTTTTTGCTGAAATCACTCTCTGACTATTTGTTAAGCACCAGACTTAACAATACTCTTAACCACTACACCAAACTGGCTCTCTGCAGCTTCCTCCAACCACCACAGGGAAGCAGGAAGATTTCCACCCATCCATCTCACCCCCCAGCAGTGGGGTGAGGCCTGGCACTTTCTTCACCCCCCTACCCCACGGGGAGGCAGGACACTGCTGGTCCTCCTCTCCCTCAGCGGCTGGTGAACACCCACTTCATCCACCTTGGCATGAACAGGATGCACCCTGCCCCACCTGCCCAATAGAGAGAGGGAGAAAGCAGGCTCCCCATGACCAGCCATCCACTGGGGCCACCTCCCCAATGCCATGACAAGGCACGGTGGCCAGTATGTTTGGTGCCCTCCATGGCTGACACCCTAGCAATCACCTAGGGCTGCCTAGTGGACAGGCTCGACCAACTATGAGTAACTTTAAAACTATGAAAGAATTTCTTTTTTTATTTGTTAAATCAATATATTCCATTTGTTCCCCAACATTTGATAACCAACATATACCCATTTGTTACTTACAGTCCTATACTGTACAATTCTTGAAAGTTTTCTAGCGTATGCCATGATTACAGATGAATCGTGTGTGGGGTGGTGGCGGCAAGATTCTATGCTCTCCCTCAGCCATTGGCCCATCAGCCGCCACTCAAGAGTACTCCCTGACATTGGCCAGGTGCTGAGTCTGCTCCTCTTCCCCGCCCACTCCCCCTTCAGCCACTGTGCCCTATCAGAATTACTGGCAAATGGCTTTCTCTCTTGACAAAGATGCTTTTCCTGTGTGGGACTAATTCATTCCTCAGTGGCTGTTGGTAGGTGTCACGAAATGGCAGTTACCTATGTTTGTAAGATGGCTGTGGTTCTTTGTTTAAAATGTTCCCCCATAAAGTTTAATTGAGCTGTAGTTGCAGAGAGGGGCCTGCAGGGGTATCACTCACTGGGTTGAATGGGGCTTCCTCATCTGCTTGCTTAGCGCTTCCAGCTGCCACAAGGCCAAAAACTGCAGGAAAACAGGGACTGTCCCAAGGCAGTCTTTGTCCCTGGGAGGCAGCAGAAATTCAGCCACTCCATAGTTGGCTGGACTGGGGAATGAATGGAAGTTTCCCTGCTCTCTTGGGCAAGAGAGACAGGCTGAAGTACAGGTGAGCCCACAACCTCCAGTGGTAGAGACTATTGTTTTGAAAGAGGATTGCGTTTAACCCCTGTTGATTTATGCCCTGTTGGTTCATAGTGTGTGCTTACTCCTAGAGTGTGTGTGTGCTCCATAACTGTGTAAATAGTTAAATAATTTTTTTAATTTGGGCTAATAATCTGTGTTGTGCTCTGACCACATAGTCTCCCCTGCTCTGCACAATACCAAAGGGAGGGGGTAGACCAGGGAAGCAGGGAAAGGCTTGGGTTACCAACTTTCCAGGGGTCCCCCAAAGATAAAAGGATTCCAGCTCCAAATAGGGAGATTCAGCCAGATGAGTCTCACTGTCCCTCTAAAAAGACAGTGACGATTCCGTGAGTGGTGGCAGCGAATTTAAGGAGTGAGATACGCCCACGGGACGAGAGTGGGAGGCAAACAGCTGAGTTGTAAACTGGAGCCCATTTCACCATGGTAGGCAACCAAGCTTGGTTCAGACAAAGGAAACCCTTTGCAGGCCTTTGTGAGGAACTCATTGGAGCCAGTCCTGAGCTAGG